AATAAAATATATTTTAAATATAATACTTTCCTAATCAAAATACCGTACTTTTAATTGAGGAATTGAATCATACCTCTCACGACTTGTGGCGACATCTACTAGCGTTTGTCTGAAGCTAATCAAACAGCGCAGATACAAATTCCTATTAAACGTACAGTAAAGGTGATTTTATTTAGATGGCGTCATAAGAAATTTTAAATGTTTAAATATTCAAAATATATTTTTTCTATATTAATAGATTGTAATAGATGGTAATGTATCGTTTCTTTTCTAGTCTGATGCAATAACAATGATGTAAGGCATTAAATTAAATACAATATGTTAAAATACGTTTTTTACCGTAATTTACAGATGTTGTAAGAAAAGCATATTCTATAATATTGTTCAAGAGTATACAGGGTGTTTCAGACCTGAAAGCGACGATTGTAGTTAAATTGTATCAAAAACTATTGAACCAATGTAGGCAATGTATCGTGGAGGTCATTCAGAAGTTTTGTAAAGAATGAATAAAGATTTTTTTTAAATGCATTAACTGTATAATTTCAAAAAAATCAATTCAAATTTGCCAATAAATATCCAAGAGAATTAGGAGATTTTTTCCCTGTTGTCATAGTAACAGAACAAAATGCAAACCATTATTATAGCTTCGGCGTTTTATATAGTCCATAAACTTCAGACTTTTTTATGCGAAGAAAAAATCATGATACTATCCTTTTTAAAAAACAAAAGTTTTGTCAGTTTAGTGTTTCCTTACAAAGAATACAGTTACATTGGTACCCTTGGCGCTAAAAAAAACAGCTAAGAAATCAGTTGTCAGATAAGCAATTATAACTTGTTTATTCTGATTTCCCATGAAGTATTCTTCACGAAGAGAAATGCATTTTTGCATCCGTTGCACCTTCAAAATTGCGTTCTTAAATTTGCTGACTGCAACTTCTCTGTACTGGAAGCTTTGACCACGCATTTCATTCTTAATCTTTAGAAAAGTAAAAAAGTCGTAAAGACTTAGGGCGGGACTGTATGGAGGATGGTCCAACCGTTCGATGTTCTCTTGCTTTAAAAATTCGATTGTTTTTCGAGCTGTGTAGGAACTCATTTATTTATTTATTCGTGTCCAACTCAGTATATGAAAAAAAAAACAAGAAATACAAAAATACATATATAAAATATACAAAACGGCCAAATTAATAAAAAAAGGTACATCATACATTTAAAAAAAAACATAGTCAATCAATCAACATAAATAGGAACAAAACTTGTACAGAATTAGACAAACTACAAAAAAATATATATGCACACAGCGGTTATATACAGGATGCCAAGTACTGGATCTTGGCACACTCCAGAGCGTTGGTATTTCCCTCCGCCAGATCACTCTGATTGCATATGTTTGGGAGATTTGGGCATACGAGAAGATGCCTCAAATTTTGTTCCTCTCCGCATTCACAGGATACAGGTCCGTCAAGGTAGCGCCACTGGTTCATGTTTGTCTTGCATCTGCCAACCTGAGTACGCAAACGGTTCAGACTCCTCCACACCGGCCATGCCTGTTCCGCACCAAGTGGTGGGCTCTCTTTTGGCCTTAGAGCAAAATCGTTTGGAGTTGTTGAAGTTGCTGACCACAACTCTAGTCTCTTTGCGGATGCCGTGCTGCTGTCAAGTGGCTGGACGGCAGAAAGAAAACTTTTTCGAGATTTCAACCTGGGTCCGGCGGCGTATTGTCCGAAGAGCGGGTGCCGGGTATCGGAAAGAGCTTGCTGTTTCTCTTTCATGCTGGAAACTTGTCTCCTTATGTGGGGTGGAGCTATCCCGCTGAGGAGGTTTAGCTGTTGGACCGATGTGGGTTTTAGGCATCCGGTCATTAGATGGCACGATTCTTCTAAAGCCATTCTATTGAATCCTCCAGCGGCTTCGATCACCACCCAATTCGACAAAAAAACGTCTGCTACAAAGCAGGGTGCGGATGACTTGTACAAGTTGATAGTCTTTCGTTATTTGATAAATCTTATATATCAGACGGTTGTGACTTACTGTGTCATATGCTGATTCTCAAAAGCCATTCTCAATATGTTGTGTGAGGTTCAGAACTTGAGCGGTACAGGTCTTTCCCGGTCTGAATCCCGCTTGCTCCGGTATTAGCTGATCGTCTAGCTGATGTTAAGGCTGATACGATTTAATAACATTCTTTCAAACAGTTTATAGAGTGTGCACAGTAAGGAGATGGGCCTAAAATGTTTGGGGTCGTCCAAACTCTTCCCGGGTTTGGTGGATAGCGATGACTTTGCTCTTCCTCCAGACTTTGGGGATCCTATTGGATTGAAGACTATAATTAAAGAGCTTCAGGATCCATTCCTTAGTTGCCGCACCAAAATTAATGATTTGTTCGTTTCTCAACTCGTCAACTCCAGCGGCTTTTCCTAATTTTAAATCGTTTATATAGCTGCATTTGGTTCAAATATTGCGAAAGGTTGGCTGAACTCGTTATTTTCCTGTTCTATTCTAGTAAGGCGGAGTGTTTTCTTCCCATTTGACTTACCGTTCACAATGAGTTGGTGGGCTACCTCATTCGCACTTACGCTTGGTATCTCTTTGGGGGCAGTTGGGTGGTTGTCCACCTTTCTTAGTGTTTTCCATGCTTGTCGACTAGAGTGTTTCATATCGATATTGGTGATAAGAATCTGTCAATTTTGACGACGACTTATAGCAATCTCTTCTGACAGTCTATTACCGTAGTTGAGATGATAGATATGATAAGATTAACTTGCATTGTCTTAGTGGAGGATCATACGTCGTTGAGGGTTGGTTTTTCGAAACTCGGCAATTACTTTGGCAAACAATGTGTGCCAATCAGCAGTAACAGTTCTTCGATCTTGCGAGGGATTGTTGCTACATGACCCGCTTTTGAGACAAATGTCCCCATCTTTTTGGAAACATTTGGAGAACGGACTTTTACCGGTTTTAGTTCATCTCGGAATACCGAAACAATCATTATTATCGGGTTCATAAGAGTAAATCCAGGATTCATTACCATTGACAATACTGTATATATTTTTTGTGTTTCCTGCGTTAAACAGGTGTAGATTTTTTTCATACCAACTGACTCTAATTGCTTTCTGTTAAACTATTTTTTACAGATTTCTTTATGTAAAAATTTTTGAATTGAGGTCTTAGAAATGCCCAATGATGCATTAGTTTCACGATATGTAACATGTCGATCTTTTTGGATCAGCTTATCTACAACGTCGACGTTTTCCTGGGTAAATGCCGTTGTTGGTGGACCTGTTCTTGGATCATCGCTAACACTAATCCGTCCACTTTTAAATGTTTTATACCAACGCGAAATTGTGGTACTTCATTTCTGAAGACAGAAACCAACTCGGCAAAGCATTCTTATTGATACAACTGTCTTTGAAGGTTGTAAAAAAATATTGCCCGAAAATTTTCTCGGCTGAATTCCATTTTTCGATTGGCTCGTCAACTTCAAAAATTTAGTTTAGTTATAGCTTTAAACGAAGCAGTCTAAAACTTTGGCGTTAAGTTAACTAAAGATGACAGTTAATTTTGAAATTTGATATCCAGTGTCCGACAATAGTGCGTCGGGCATCTGTACCTCCTAGAATCAAAAACTTGAGAAATTTTGTTTAATTGCATTGTATTTTAGGAAAATATTTTAACTTCTATAGGGTGGCTCAAAAAAGTATGAGTGGATCGGAATAACTTTTTTTAAATAGAACACCCTGTATATTATTGCATTTTTGGTTTCCTTTCAGATCACTTTACGTAATCCTAAAATATGAGTAAATATTTTTCTATAGTTTTAGAGACAGTAATAAATAAATTAAAAATAAATATTTTTCAGCCTTTCTTAAAAAAATTATTTAAAATACGAGAATTGTCCTGAAATCAAAAAACTATATTAGGTATTAGATTCTCTGTACTTACTTTGCTATAAATATGGTAATCATAAATCATACAGGATGTTCAAAATTCTACGCCAAACTTTCTAAAATATACAATAATTTTCCTTCGTTTCTTTTTAATGGAACACCCAGTAAATTATTTTTTTATTAGATGGAGAATTAAAAAATGGACATTTTTTGTATTTAGAGTATTTCAAAATTGTTAACGATTTCGGAGATAATCGTGGTTTTATATCTCATATGGCATTTTCCACAGTAAATTTTATCAAAGCCACCCAATGATTTTTCTCTGGTATTTACCGTTCCAAATGCAAATAATACTACGTGTATCTGCGAAACCATTAAAATTTTTAAAATACTTTAAATACAAAAAAAAATAATTTTCTAACTCTCCCTCTAATAGAAAAATAATATACAGGATGTTCCATTTAAAAAAAGAAAAATTATTTTATATTTTAGAAAGTTTGGCGTAGAATTTTAACCACCCTGTATGATTTTAGATTACGATATTTATAGAGAAGTAAGTATGGACTATCTAAAGTGAATACCTGATATAGTTTTGGTTTCAGGACAGGTTCTTGTATTTTTAATAATCTTTTAAGAAAGGCTAAAAAATATATATTTTTTATTTATTTATTAATATCTCTGAAAGTATCGATACATATTTACTCATGATCTAAAAAGAAGCCAAAAATGCAATTATATACAGGGTGTTCCGTTTAAAAAAAATAATCCCGATCCACACACACTTTTTTGAGCCATCCTATAGAATAAGTTAAACTATTTTCCTGAAATACATCCTCGTGCATACTTTAGGTTTACACTTACACAAAATTATCAAGTTTTTTATTCTAGGAGCTAAAGATGCCCGACGCACTATTGCCGGACCCTGTATATGCCAAATATAAAAAACAACCCTTGTATTAATGGCGAAAAGAAAATTAAATGTCTTGACATAAAATACTCAAAAAAAAACTCTAAAGTTATTGGGCTATCTAACCGGTCACACGAAAAGCACAGCAGCATTAAAACAGCGTGAGTTGCGCTGTTCTAACAGACAACTTCGTGATTGTCGTTGAATAAGAAAAAGTTTTCAAATCGAAGAACCGCGGACAGCAAACGGACGTAAGTAGTACGGATTAAGAGGGAGTGAAATGCTTGACCGTAGCAGGCAATCAGTTGGTGGTACGCTTTAGTAGTACGCCAATACCTGTCAGTACTTGGATTAACAGAAACGCGCGTTCTAGATTTACCTACGGCGCGAGGTTAGAACAATTTGAACACGGTATAAACAAAGAACGGGCTAAAGTTATGTGAATCTGTACAGGTGAAACGATAAACACCATGTTAGTGTTGTTGTGTTTGTGTTGGATAAACAGCTCAATGGACGAAGAGAAGGCTTTGCTAAGCCTTTAACGTATCTTGTTTTGCGTTCTTCATTTACAGGTAAATTAGAAAGTACATCATTGTCGTCTAAAAACGACAGTTATTTTTCTATAATGACATGTTTTGTATACAGGGTGTAAATGAAACTAGAGTTTCCATACAAGTTTTTGAAAAATCCGGACAAAAAAATGTATTTATGTAAAGTTTGTCTAAGGATGTTGTCTTGGATGTCATCTGAAGATATTCTTCCCTGACTCAATAGGCAGGCGGGCAAACTTCACTTTAGAAGAAAAATTAAAGATAATTATGAAAGTACTTAGTATACTCTTTTATCCTTTGTGAGCAGCACTAAGATTTTCACTGCATATACCGGGTGCGTCTCAAAAGTGGTTCACCCCTATAACTTTTTTACCTTTTCAGATTAAAAAAAAACGAGATTTGTTATGTTACTATATGACATAAATTAGGATTGATTGACGTATTCAAATGTGTTTGGTTTGGTTGACTACAACTTTTAATTTTTAAATGGCATCCTCGGTATATTTCTATTTTATTCGATAGAATATGACATTCTTAGTAGAAACACACATCATATGTCAACTTTTGACATTTTTGCATATAGTTTATTTGAATTAATCAATAGTACTAATTATGTATGCCACCCTCGCCTCGTTCCATTTGAAAAAAATAAGATATGATTAAAAATACGATTTGGGCATTTTTCAACCGGCCACAACAAGACACAAAAAATATTAGATGATTAAATCTATTTTTCCAAGGCTCCTTCTACAAAAATTAGTGTTTTTAACACAGCCGTGGCACTGAAGATTGAAATTTAAAATACGATTTTCTTAAGCAAAAATGTCAAAAGTGACAAGAATAAGCAAAAATTTTTAAAACGACATATCGTCCTATTGCTGCCAAAAGTCACTAACTAACATTTTTTCCGAACAACCAAATTCAATCACTAACTATGTTTTGAATCGGAGAATCGATTGCAAAAGTCATTAACTACGATTTCTGGCTATTTATGTTTTATTTTAATACCGAATAGTTACTAACTATAACATTTTTATGCAATGCAATTCATCTTTAGACGCATTTTTCTCGGAAGTAATAAAAAGTAAGTTAGTGACTTTTGGCAGCAATGGGACGATATGATATGTCGAATTATCATTCAGTTTCTATCAAATAAACTAGAAACATACGAAAGGTAGCATTTAAAAATTAAAAGTTGTAGTCATGTCCTGTAAAACAGGAAGTGACTTAAAACAATTAAATACGTCAATCAATCCTAATTTATGTCATATACTAACATACCAAATCTCGTTTTTTTAATCTGAAAAAAGTTATAGGGGTGAGTCACTTTCGAGACGCACCCGGTATACGCTACAAACGACATCAGAAGTGGATTATCTCTTTTTAATGGAACAGAAAACTTTAAGCATTTTATTGGTTACTATACACTTCGTTTTGGCATTATCAAATGCTTAATTTTATTGGTAAAATTTAATATTGCGATATCCCCAAACCAATTTAGCCGTTGCATATACAATTAGTATAGTTAAAGTCTGTCCAACGAATCAGGGAAGATTTTGACAGATGACGTTCAAAAAATGACGAAAAATACAATTTATTTGTGAACTCGTTGGACATACTTATTTTCATAGAGCGCACCTAATCATAACAAAAACAAATTATAGAAAAATTAATTCACGAGTACACCAAAAAGCAATAAAACTGCGATATAACATAAAAACTAATGAATATAAAAAAATTGGCGCCGGGAAGCACGTATAGCCGCCCGTAGTAAAATATGTTAATAAAAAGTTGGCAGGCAGTTCTTTTAGTTTCAAAGTAAAGGAATTTTTCCAATTTTTTTTTATCTCAAAAACTGCGACTTTGACTGATTTTGATTTTATTACAAATTTTGTTGCAAATATTATTCCTAATCTTAAATTGAAAACCGCGTGTCGCTAGCTACTGTAATTTTGGAGTTACGATTTTATAAAATTTTTAACCCCCTCCCATACCCCCCACCCCCACCAAAAGCTAATGGCCAGATTCTCGGGTGCCACAGTATTTTTGTGCCAAATTTGGTTAAAATCGGTTTAGCGGTTTTTGAGTTATCGTGTTACAGACAGACGGACAGACAGACAGACACCATGAAAATATTTTGTATTTAGGTCATTTATGACCCATATAACTCATTAAGCCTACCATACCTGTTGGTGTGGACGGCTAAAAATAACTATATGATTAAAAAAACGGCGTCAGAAACGGCTGGGACTGACAATGGATAACATTTTTGGCGAGGCTAATCTGTAGACGTAATTCACTAAAAATTAGCATGAAACTTGTCAAAAATTAACACTAATTATATAAAGATTAAAAAATGTCAAAACGTTTCTCGAAACACAAATCTATTTCGAAAAAAATATTTTTCTCTAATTTTAAACAACACCATTTGAAAATAATTTTTAATCAATATAAAAATAAATTATAACTTTCTTAAGGGCATCTGACAGTAGCAAATGACGGCATTTCTCCATTCGTTACGGCCAACATGACCTCTAGGGCTTGACCTTGCCAAAATTATCATTGATTGTCAATCCCCAGCCGTTTTTGAAGCCATTTTTTATCGTATGTTTATGCAATAGTTATAATAGGAATTAAAACCAATTTCAACTTTATCTAAAGATTGCCTTTAAGGTATTTGCTCGTTAGTTTCATTTACACCCCGTACAATAAGCGACCGGTTGATCTACTTATACACTTGTTAACTCACCGTGAGCAAGAACCGCTTCTGTATGCTGGCATTATTTCAGCGTGAATCGCCTTCATTTTATATAACAGTAGCCGATATACCGAGCGCCGATTTCTACGATCTACATAAAAAAATGCGAAGAGAGAGTTTAATGAGACAGCTAAACAAACAGATAATCGCCACGGTGCCATAGATTACTCAATTATTACAATAACCAGTGGCGGTACCTCAATAAGGGCACACGTGCACAAAAAAAAATCTTGATTAAAAAGATAAGATTTTCATTAAAAATTAGTGTTTTTAATAGCGATGGGAACTATCGAATGAATTAGACTATCGAATGGTTAATGAATGAATGATTTCAACTATCGAATGGTTTTATTCGAATAAAATCATTCATTCATTTGTATACTAAAGCATATGTGACAACCTCGCCGTGCGACTAAATGGTTATCGTTGAGCCACGGCTATCGAATGCTTTTGATAAATGAAATTTAGTATTCGTTTGATTTTTGTATGCGTCAGTGCATTATTAGTTCTTCCAAATTTTTATAACTTCGCCGTATAAATACTGTGCTATTTTTGCGTTTATTAAAATAGTTAAAATACTAAAATAGTAGTTATTTTTTAATTTTATTTATTGACGATTGTGTGCATGTGCAGGTGGTCAAAATTTTTCCGAAAATTTGTGTGGTTTTCCGTAGTCCGATCTTTCAATTATTTAATTTTATATGGTATATGGTCTATTTTTTAATGGGAAATTTTGAGAAGTATCAATTTTTAAGAGAGATGAGATGAACTTACAATTAATTTTAAAAATACATATTTGTATTTTAGATGTTTTAATAATATGAATTAGTTAAACTTAATAATCATATTTAAGTAATGTGGTTGTATAATCATGTTTAAGTAAATGGTTATCGAACTCAAACTATGGGGTGAGAAAATTAAAATGAAAGTTTTACACGTGCCAATTTAAAAAAAAAGTTAACGATGTTTGTATTTTGTTTATGCTAATTCTCTTACATGTAGTTTTTTGCGAAGAAAAAATATTTCATTTATTTTTTAAAGTAAATGCCAGTAAAAGTAAATATAATTTTTAAATAGTAATATAAAGCACCTAATATAAATAATTTTGATTTCTAATTTTTTATTTATATTTTCCTTCCATTACACTGCATGCTTAGAAAATTAATAAATGTTTATATTTCATGATTTTAAAATTTGTTGTTAATATAACAAATTAGTTCTGTAATTATTATTATTTAATAAACCAACGTTGCCAAAAAATTTAGAGACTATATTATTTTTAAATAGGATCTAATATAAATAATTTTGACATCTAATTTGTTAGATGAAATATACATCTATACATCTAATTTGTTAGATGATAATAATATAAAGAAAATATTTATATTAAATGATTTTAAATTTTGTTGTTAATAGGTATAACAAATTATTACTGTTATTATTATTTATTTGTCGATGTCTTTGCTAAAAAACATTAAAAATAATTTTCCTACATCCAAAATAACAAGTATTATTGCAGTGTAACAACAGAATATTAATAAAAGAAATGCAGAATGTATAGTATGTCTATATATTCCCTAATTAACTAAAGCCAAACATAATATTCTTTGCTAATATCAACTAATACCAAAATATGGCAACAGCGCCTTTCATAATGTATTTTCTGTGTAAATACCAGCATCTCAATAAAAAAAATAATGTGTCCTTATCTATATCTGACTCCGCAAAAAATCAAAGATGCCGGCTTCTTTCATAGCATTGCCACCGACCGCTGTCGGGTTTCTCGGAAAGAAACCTACGTCGCCGGGCGACAACTAAAATTCAGTTAATATTTTATTATAATCGATCCTGACGAATGAATGAATTTCATAAATGAATGAATTTTATAAATGAATGGTTTTTGCTGCCGAATTACTAGAATACAATATTTCAAGGCAGATGACGGATCTATTCGATAATTTTTATTCGAATAGTTTTCAACGAATGTTTTCTTACTAACTATCGAATTATTCGAATGAATTGCAACTATCGAATGTTTCGATAGTATTCATTCGATAGTTCCCACTACTAGTTTTGTTTTTAACACAGCCATGGCACTCTAGATTGAAATTTATAATACGATTTTTTCTAAGCGAGAATGTCAAAAGTTGACATATTATATGTCATTCTATTCACAGTGCCATTTTCTATCGAATAAAATAAAAAATATACCGAGAGTGACATTTAAAAATCAAAAGTAATTTCCGGTGAAACAGGAAGTGAC